TTTTTTCATCCGGAAATGAGAAATTGACCAACGGTCACTGTGACCTTGACCTTTGACCTACTGACCCCAAAAACAATAGGGATCATCTGCTCTATAAGACCAATCATCCTATGAAGTTTGAGGGCTGTAGGTCAAAAGGAACTCTAGTTATCATCCGGAAATGAGAAATTGACCAACGGTCACTGTGACCTTGACCTTTGACCAACTGACCCCAAAAACAATAGGGATCATCTGCTCTATAAGACCAATCATCCTATGAAGTTTGAGGGCTGTAGGTCAAAAGGAACTCTAGTTATCATCCGGAAACGAGAAATTGACCAACGGTCACTGTGACCTTGACCTTTGAACTACTGACCCCAAAAACAATAGGGATCATCTGTTCAATAAGACCAATCATCCTATGAAGTTTGAGGTCTGTAGGTCTAAAGGAACTCTAGTTATCATCCGGAAACGAGAAATTGACCAACGGTCAGTGTGACCTTGACCTTTGACCTACTGACCCCAAAAACAATAGGGATCATCAGCTCTATAAGACCAATCATCCTATGAAGTTTGAGGGCTGTAGGTCAAAAGGAACTCTAGTTATCGTCCGGAAACGAAGAATGGACGGACGGACTGACGGACGGACTGACGGACGGACGGACGGACTGACGGACGGACAGGGCAAAAACAATATGTCTCCCCCCGAGGTGGGGGAGACATAATTAAAGGGAGGTAATAATAATAAGCAAATACATATGTTTCAATTCTCCATGGAAAGAATGACATTTTGGTATAAGCAGAACAATCATAATTGTAGCTACCATATACTATCCAATATGTGCCTTTATAAGGGGGAGGGTTGTTTATTAGTGAATACGGTATGCCCCTAAATGTACTTTGTATCACTGGTGCTTAAACAGATGCTATCTGTCAAATTTGAAACAAGAGCATCGCTAGGTGGAGAGTTATATGCCAGAAAATGTGTATTTTTTTTTTTTAGTAAGGATGAAGCAATTGTAAGACATGGAAATTAAATAAAGTATTACCACCTTGAAATAGCAATCCTCCTATGAAGTTTGAATATTGTGGGCCAAATGGAAATGCTCCGAAAACTGTTTTCAGTTTTAAGGTATTAGTGACCTTGACCTTTGACCCTGTGACCCCAAAATCAATAGGGGTCTTCTACTCAATATGGACAATCATCCTATGAAGTTTGAACACTGTAGGCCAAATGAAACTTAAGTTATGTTCCGGAAACTGTTTTCAATTTGACAGTAATAATGACCTTGACCTTTGACTTTGTGACCCCAAAATCAATAGGGGTCTTCTACCCAATATGGACCATCATCCTATGAAGTTTGAACACTGTGGGCCAAATGGAACTTTAGTTATGCTCCAGAAACTGTTTTAAGCTTGAAAGTAATAGTGACCTTGACCTTTGACCTTGTGACCCCAAAATCAATGGGGGCCTTCTACCCAATATGGACAATCATCTTATGAAGTTTGAACACTGTGGGCCAAATGGAACTTAAGTTATGCTCCGGAAACTGTTTTCAGTTTTAAGGTAATATAGACCTTGACCTTTCACCTTGTGACCCAAAAATCAATAGGGGTCTTCTACCCAACATGGACAATCATCCTATGAAATTTTAACACTGTGGGCCAAATGGAACTTAAGTTATGCTCCGGAAACTGTTTTCAGTTTTAAGGTAATAGTGACCTTGACCTTTGACCTTGTGACCCGAAAATTGATAGGGGTCTTCTACCCAATATGGACAATCATCCTATGAAGTTTGAACAATTTGGGCCATATGGAACTTAAGTTATGCTCCGGAAACCAAATTGCTAACGGACGGACAGACGGACAGACACCAGGGGGTATAACATAATATGCCCGAAATTCTTTTGGGCATATAATAAAATAAGATTTATCACATATACCCAAGTAATAAAAATAATATTACATAAATTAAGTGTAATAACTTAACGTGACATGACGTCATTTATGTAATATACAAACAGCGTAAAAGAGCGCTAATGTTAGCATACACTATAGGCGGGTCTGGGTCCTTCTATTTCCAATATGTGATAGAATATTATACTAGTATTGAACTCATTGATTAAAACATAATGATGGTCACCAGAGGCTCGCATTATATGATTTTATTCAACTTATTCAATAAATTTAGTATTAAATCTGCACTCATTCAATATCCTCTATTTACTGCTTTTTTACTTTATGTTAAATATTTTTCCTTTCGTTTACTTTATTCCACTTTTCTTTAACATTTTCACTTTTATATTAAGTTATCTTTAATGTAATTTTAAATTAATAAAAACTAGGTTAACTTACATCCATTTCTCTTTTATTTTCTTTGCGTATTGCATCAATTGCCCTATGTTGATCTTTACTCCATTGACTTTTCTCTAATGCTTTCTCTTGCATGAACTTTTGTTCTGAAACAGTAAAATGACTGCATGAAACAGTTCTAAATATACCAAAAAAATGACATACAATTTCATGTTAGGTATACATATACATTTATATGAATAAAAGTTAAAGTTCACTCTTCCCTTCAGGTGAATTATGCTTATAAATTTTTTTAAAAGAAAAGGATTACTTCAACAACTAAGGAAGGTAATTTCACTAGTTCCAGCAAAATATTCATACACAAAATACAAGTTGTTTCCCTTGAATAAAATTAGATACAAATGCATGCTGTTTCCTTTCAATGCCTTCATATCTGATGTTGAAAGAAAGAACTTTTTCAGTACATTGACTTTTAAAAGAATAGATTACCAAAAATCTTTTTTTACGTAAATTACTTTTAACACTAAGCAACAATTGGAATAACTCAGAAGAAAGTCTTAGGTTACAATACTATACACTGTGGGTTCAAATACCATCAGAAAAATGAAATTATTTCATGTGAGGAATTTAAAAAGCTTCATTAGAGACAATTTGTGGGTCATCTTCCAGCTGAAATAATGCATCATGATGAACCTAGTCTGTTCTTGCATCATATGGTTGATTAAATTTTACGCTTATTTTAACAAATTTTTGGTCATAATGGCAGTTGTCCCCCCTTAATAGATTTCCTGGATAGCTAATAGATAATTACCATTTCTCAGCAAGTGACCGACAACTAATCCCACATGATTGATAAGATACTAATGACCATCAGCCTCTATGTCTGAGATCAATTGTCAAGAGGTGATTACGTCTCACCCCGAGGATTGAACCCCTGCGAAGCCCTTTTTCAAATCAGATACTCTCCCTATTGAACTTAGAAGTTGGTCATTTAATGACCTGATCAGTGAGAAAAATGTGCAGCCTGACCAGGACTCGAACCCGGGACCCTGGGACTGCTGTTACGCGGCTCTACTGACTGAGCTATCCGGCCTCTTATACACTATCTCCCCTAATCAGTGAACAGTTCTAAACAATGATATCAGTAACAATTAGATTTAAAACAAAACCAATAAAAGACATGCTTACTCATTTCCTGTAATTCTTTATTTTTCTGCATTTCGAGATCGTTTTTCAGATCTTCTTCTTTCCGTTTCCATTTTTCCTCAGTTTCCTGATGTAGGGACGACTTATAGGACTCAAATGCTCCTTGCAGAAACTCGATCTCCTTTTTCATACGCGCTGAAAAAAAATCAAAACAACATTATATAAATATCACATTTACTGAATTAAAAAGACGGATTTTTTTGTCCAAGAAAATCAAAATCATGAAATTCAAAGGATAATAAGATATTTTCTAATAATTTCATGGACTTTTCATCATAAAATTCAAGTACTTGAGTACTTTACCACACATCTACATAAATTATCATGGACAAAAGGTCTGAATATACTAGCAATACACATTATTGTTTAGACTCAGTTATAAGACTTTGTTTTTTGGCTTAATTTCATATGCTGAATCATATATCTAGACTTATAAGTGGACTATAAAGTCCAACTAAATAAAGGGATGCATGAAATCTTTGTGAATCACAATACCCTTATTTTATAAGACATTTCTTTTGTTTTTTATGCATAGATATATCAAATGTTGTCCCAAAATGTGCAATAGTGTGTCTGATAAGTGGATCACAAATGTCCGTGAATATGCAAATACATAAAAAACTGTATAACTTACTCAATTACAGAACTATTGACCTTCAGTTTTATTGCTTCATGCCAATGAAAATTTTATTTTTTCAACATACAAAGTGAACTGAGGACAAAACACTGGTTTACAATGCATAGCCATGTCAGTATTTTGAAACTCCCCACTCCAGACAATTGCTCCCCCCACACCCCACAAAAAAAAATATTTATTTAAATAAAATCATTTAAAACGTAATAAAATATCATTAAAATATCATAGATCAATAAAAAATATGAATACATGTATTTAGTATGTTTTAATTTACAGGATCTGGTACTAGTTACCGACCCGGCTATGCACCTTACACCTGCAGATAAAAACAAAGAACATACCAATCTGAGCTTCAGCATTAGTCTTATAGTTGGTATGTTCTGTTTCCATGGACTTCTTCAACTTTTGTAACTCCTCCTCACCCTCCCTTTCTCTGTCTCTGTAAATAAGTAACATTTTAGGTGAAAAGTAACCAAAATCCTGCAGCGTTTTAGTAAAAGACATAATGAATCAATTTTTAATTGGTCAGTGTAATTATCAGGGGCTTGTCATATCAAAATGCAAAAGGCAGTTAGAAAGTAATTGTGTAGGCTGGCCTAATTTTAATACATGTACTAGTGGTATGAACTTGGTTTATACAGAATTTATTTTAGTTTGATTGTGTAGGAAGCTTTAAGTTTATATAAACACATTCCCAAATCCGATCCTGGAACCAGCCAGTACTAAGTAATAAGAGTAAAGTTTAATGCTCAAGGAAACAGTGGCTAACCCCAAATTGGGTTTAAATCCATGGTGATAGCCATGATGTGTTAACCACTCAGCCATGATGCCACTGCTAAGAACTTGACAATAACACCATAATTTGTTTTGCAATTTTTATATCACTTAATAAGCAAAATACTGATATTTCAAGATTTCACAGTTTATGTTTATTGATTGCCTTTGAAAACAAAACCATCTAACTTAAGGCTGCTGGTAGCAACTGTTTCTACCCATGTGACCAGCGCAGACCAAGATCATGTGGCACATCTGTGATGTTTGATTATGGTCTGCACTGTTTTCTTTTCTGTTTTCCCTACAAAGGATGAATGGTTTTGTCCTGATTGAAAAATGGGCAAGTCCATTTTAGATAATTAGAGGGGTAAGGGAACTTACGCTAAAGCATTTCTTCTGGCATTTTCCAACTCCTCGATTTTGTCCTTAAGAAATTCATCTGCCTGTAAGAAAGAAATGAATATCTCAGGTATAAAGTAAAAGAAAGAAAAGTTTTACACAAAATGTTACCAACTATATTTTTACAGAACTTGAAGGGTTATAATGGATAGTGTATATAATTATGTACACTTTGTATTTTGTCATCACAGGCATCACTTATTATATCATAATAATCATCATCATCATAATTTCCATGGTCCTGTTGTTTATCACAGCAATCATCATCATCATCATCATATCATCACTATCATCATCTTCATCATCATCACCACTATCATCTTCATCATCATCATCATATCATCATCACCACTATCATCTTCATCATCATCATCATAGTTATCATCATTATCATTGGATGGTTGAAAGAACAAGTAGGACTTTACATTCTCATAATGACATTAAAACTTCATTCTTTCATAAAATCTAATTATCTTGCTTATTGAGATAGCTAGCTTCCTCACATGTTTTTTAAGTTACAGTGAAACCTGTCTTATCCGAACTAGTCCAGACTAGAAGAAAAGTTTGGATTAGAAAGGTTTCCGGATTAGAAAGGTTTCCTAAGTAGGAGGTTTTTTTTACATGTTTTTTTCATGTTATTTGCAAAATAGTTTAAGGAAAGAAAACGGGAATGCATTTGAAATTGCAATTTAGATATTTTATTTTTGCAGTCTCTTATCGTTCATTTTAATACATGTGAATACAAAAATAAAGAAATAAAAATAAATCAATAAGCAAAAATATTATGTCCTCAAGGGTAAGTTAACCTACGATGTTAAACAGGAGGCCGAGACATGATTTGATATTCGTACCAGCATTTGTCAGTTGTTGTTTACTCGTATCCGATTCAGCGACTATCCGAATTCACTGACAGTTTCCATTAATTTTCATTACTTAATCACGTATCATTGAATCCTATACAAAGGATTAAAAGATATTTCTATTGCATTATATCAAAATATTTATAGAAGCTGACGAAAAACAATCAATTAAGCAATTATAGAAGATATCAAGGCAAGCTAAGTGTAATTTTCACACCTTCGCAGATCATACGTTTCACCCATTAATCAAGCGAAATAACACTTATCAGTTTGGTGTATGTTTACACCTGTAATATGTGCGATTATTTGTTATTTTGAATGAAGGTGTGACATTTGGCAAAATCTGTTCGGATCCGAGAGGTAAATTTTAGAGTAAAATAAGAACAAAAATTGAAAAAATCGTCCGGAATTCGGAGTAGACAGGTTCCGGATCCGAAAGGTTTTTTACTATTGAAAATAGAACGAATAAAGTCGGGACCGGACACTTCGTTCGGATAAGAAAGGATTCCGGATTAGAAGGGTTCGGATTAGCAAGGCTCCACTGTATATGAAAATAACAGCACTGTGGACAAGTAGTCTGGAGTTAACACAATTCTATTAAGATATTCATATCTAAAATACCTTGAGCTTTGTCTGTTTATGGTTGAGCCTTTCCTCCTCTAGATACAAGGTAAGATCTGATATCCTTTCTTGAAGCTGTGATATTAGGTTGTCCCTGAAAATCAATCAGATCTTAAATAAAATATGTGATATCAAATTGTCCCTGAAAATCAACCAGATCTTAAATAAAATATGTGATATCAAACTGTCTCTGAAAATCCACCAGACTTATAGTGGTATCAAAATATTGAAATTTGCATGAAACCAAAAGTTATAAACCTTTGCTACAAGTATAGAGCCATGTCAACCTTCAAGAACGTGCAGTCTGTCAAATGAGCCGCGCCATGACAAAACCAACATAATGGGTTTGCGACCAGCATGGATCCAGACCAGCCTGTGCATCCGCGCAGTCTGATCAGGATCCATGCTGTTTGCTTACAAACGCTATAACAAGAAGAGAAACTGGAACGAACAACATGGATCCTGATCAGACTTTGCGGATGCGCAGGCTGGTCTGGTCACAAACCCATTATGTTGGTTTTGTCATGACGCGGCTCAAATGCTCTATAGACTGTCTATCTATATGGCTGTCTTATCTCTTTTTATCTTGATAATGGACAGTTCCAAAATGGAAGCCAAACAAGTTCATTTAAAAAAATTCAGCAGGTTAAACTTTAAGCAACCACCAATATAGAGTCGGGTCAGATATATAGATGTATAAGCTTGCCTGGCTCTATACTGGTGTCATAAATCTGATATCATTGCTGTTATCTGTCAAATTGGGATCACAAAAATTAACTTTTCTGAAATATTAAAAACAGACAATGTCTTACCTTTCATGGTCCTCGTGCTTCTTCCTGCAATTACACAGAAAAGGAAAAAAATTATTAGTTAATTAACATGATTAACATCTTGCATTTTAATTTTGACCAGCTTAAAGTAAATGAAGTGAAGGCATCATTATATATATGTAAATATCCAGTGTTCATTTTTAACAAAATTAATATCACTGAATTCTTAAAACAAGTCAAGTAAGTGTTTGAGACTGGAAGGGGCCAGAACTCTTACCTATTTATATAAAAGACATTGGTGTGAGGTTAAAGGACATAGCACACATTTTTTTTTGCTTTATTTCTTTTGGCTTTTTTTGTTTAAGATTTGTTTTAAGCCATACTGACACTTTATAAAGATCATATGGCAATTTCCAGCTTTAGTTATAAAGACAAAACCTCAGGTGCCCCTCTATGCATTATTTCAGGATTTAGCATGCACCTGAGTAAAACCATCAAACTTTCTTACGCTTGCTGGCTTATTAAGCTCCCTCACATAATAGACTCCAAAGTCCAAAGTGGGATTTGAATCAACAGCCATAAGGGCTATGTGGTTCCAACTCAGCGAACCTTAACAACTCTGCCATGGAGGCCCCCCACCCTATATTTATATCAGCCAATGAATGAAGGCACTATATATATATATAACAGTCAGGAAATTTAATGGAAGGACAATTATTTAGACCAACGTCTTTTATATTTCCCCTAATGTTTGTAACACAAACCCCTTCACCCACACAAGTGTTAATCATTTTCTGCAAGTATGAAGATAGGTGTCTTATTGTGGCAGTGTTAATTTAATTTTAATGGTATCTTAAAAGTACAATTCATGTACAGAAACACTAGGGTAAAGTAATCCCATGGGTTGCCACCTCAAGGAGATAGTCTCAATAATTAAGTCTCAATAGTTAATAATTGATATTTTTTTAAATAACTCAAACAATTTGTTTCTATTTTAACATAAAATTACATTTTAAGTTGCTAAATATGCATGTCCCTTTATAACATACAGATTATGAGACAAATATAATTAAATATGGGACAACAAAAGTATTTAAGAAAAGAAAAGTTACATAAATATTATATTCAAAACGCATGTAGAACAAACAAAGTATATTCAGACAATACAATGCCTTATTTACACAGGTTGCACCATAAAAAATACCAAAATTGTTATCTATTTAGAAAAAACAAAAGTCAACAAACACAAGTAAAAAAGAAATCGTATCTCTCTGAGGTAAAATCAATAGTCAGTGCATTGATTATCTCTTCCGACGGTGAATCATTTCGCATTTACAATTCTATCTGTCATCAAAAGTTTTCCTCTTATCTTAATCTACTACAAAGCAAAATATTGACAAAAATCAATCGAACTGTCACAAAACAAGACGAACAGTAAGTGCCAAGTGCTTTTAGAAAATAAAGTGACACTATCTACAAGACACACCCATTATCTTCCGGTCACGAGGGTTCATCATCGCAATTACGATCAGTTAATGATACCGTAATTACTATCATAACAAATGATTAGTCAATAACTTTTAATAACAATATTTCATGACAGTGAATGCAATCTCTGGAATTTTAGACCAACGATTTTTTGGGGAACAAAACAAAATTGCTTAGTGTAAAGGTTACAAATTGAACGGTCATACATGTATATCAAAGTTTTATAAATTTGTCTCAAACTTAAAAAAATAAAAAAGTTATATGCCAAAATGAAACAAAAACAGAGATGAAAAAAGAACTTCCTTCTTAAAAAATAATTATTACAAAAAATAAAGATTAAACAATGTGTTCAAACTATGGGATATACTCATGCAAATAAAGGGGACACACCTGTAAAAAAAAAGATGTTTAAAAATTGGTTGAACAATCTTAAAATCACTAACAAACACATGCATATGGTATAAGGATGTTCAACATCAAACATTCTAACAGAAACACTTCCTTTTAAACGTGATGGTAAAACAATGTGTCAAAACTTAACACAAAAGAACAATTTAACTGGTACAGTGGTTAAAACTGCACAGGAATTTTTCCCAGTATAGCACCAGACTTGTAACCTGACAAAGCTCTATACTGTTGGCAGAGCAACTTTCAAAATTTCAGTGTGATGCTTAAACTGAATATGGACTGGTTCAAAATGGAAGATGGACAAGTCCATTCAGCAAATCATGGTTAAATTTATAGATAAAAATAAACCTGGCTGTTGAAAATCAAGATATTTATTGTATTGTGTTAAATAAGGAGACATTCTGGTATTGCCTCATGTAAAAGACATTCAGATATTGTTTTCAGTATGAAGACGTTCATGTATTGCCTTTAAGTATGAAGACATTCATGTATTGCCTTTAAGTATGAAGATATTTAGGTATTTATTTTAATAAGAAGACATTCAGGTATTGTCTTTAAGTATGAAGGCATTCATGTATTGTTTTGAGTATGAAGACATTCATGTATTGTTTTAAGTAAGAAGACTTTTGGGTATTGTTTTTAAAATGAAGACATTGCTTTAAGTAAGAAGGCATTCAAGTATTGACTCTAAGTATGAAGGCATTTAAGTATTGCTATATGTATTGCTTACAGTATGAAAACATTCAGGTAGAATTTTAAGTATGAAAAGACATTCAGGAACATTAATTTACCTTAAAGTATGAACATATATTCCAGTATTGCTTTAAGTGACAATTAATAATTTAGATATCATAGTGATATGCCAATGACACCTATACAAATAATATAGAATTAAATGCAATTACTCAATAAGAATATGCCCCTATAAATAAACTGCCAATAATGAATGTTGTAACTTGATCATGCCAAAAAACATTGGCAAGTTTGTCGTTAAAATGCCTTAACTTGCTCTGAATATTCATTGAGTTATGACAATTATAAAGTTAAACCCGCTATTTATTTTCAAATGAAATCGTTAATCAATTCATTGCATTGAAATACGATGCATTTTTTGTATGAAACGTTTTGCCTTTTCACTTGTAAAACTACTGTAACCAAAAATTAATATGTTAGAAATTTAAATCATAATACACTTTGTACACATAATACACCTAATGAATAAAGCATTTACAGTGCACCAAAGTTGTTTTTTTTAATGAAATACAACTTTGTTAATGTATTAGGGGAGTATTATACCAGTGGACCGCCTTTGGTAAAGTGACACATAAATTACATTAAATATCATTACCTTAGTGCAGTAATGGGTTAACTCCTATTAAATTATATAAGGAGTTACCTCATAACTGCACTAAGTATAGGTTAAAGTTTATTAGTATGTATTTACAAAATTAAACAGGTTAGTGTTTTAAATAATTTTTTATAAACAGTTGATTTACTAGGCTGATTAACAGTTTGCTGAGTTACCAAAGTAATGTGTTACAATTCATTTGAAATACATAGTGTTAAAGCTTCATGAAAATGATTATTTGTTTCTTTAGTAATTACATGAAACCACCAAGTTTTTTTTTTACATGAAACCACCAAGTTTTTTTGTTTTTTTTTACATGAATAAAATTTCCCCTTCCTATTTATATATTTTTTTTAATAAAAAGAATTCAACCAGTAAGGCATCTAACACACAACCCTGAATGATAACAGGTCTGATTTTGTTTATTTGTCACCAACACTGTGAAGGCCATATAGCGATAATTATAAGTACAGTTTTACTGGTGAATAAGACCTTGGGGTGTCTATGGGTGCATTATTTCTAGCACAAGAACACCCCAAGTTGAACCATAGACTTTCAATAAGCTAGCTGAATAGCTTCTTCACATGATGGATTCAAAAGTTCCTGATTAGATTAGAAACCATGGCAGTGTAAGGCAAGTAATTTGAAGTTGGCTATGTTACCACTTGGTCACACAGGCCCCACTCATAGGTACATGTATGTAGAAAGCAACCTTTACTATACAGTTTTATAGACAACTTAATGGCGGTGAAAATAAAATTACATATTAATATTAGACTCATGCAACTATGATGATATCATGCACCAATTAATCAATGAGATTTTCAAGATGTAACATGCACACACAGTTTACTACCGTATATACTGTAGTCACCTACCCACTGTCTCCGTATGAAGATATTTTAAGGAAAGGCGACTCGGATCTACTCCTTCCAGAATAAAAATCATACAGTATGTATTATTCCTTTATATCTTTATTTATATACCAAATATCCAGTATTATAAAATGTACCCTGAATTTATTTCACTATTTATATCATTTACCCACTTATTATTTCATTTACCCACTATTCATTTCATTTTCCACTTATTATATCATTTACCCCTTATTATGCCATTTACTCACTTATTATATCAATTACCAACTATTCATATAATTTACCCACTATTCATTTCATTTACCCTGGTATAACTTATTATATCATTCACCCACTATTGATATAATTTACCCACTGTGATGTTCTTAGTACATGAAACTATAATTTTTTACCAAATATGTAAATCAATATTGACCAAATATTTATTTATCAATGCAGTATTTACATAATATTATGTACCCAACATTAAATCATCAACATAGGATATAATATAATATAAAAATCAATTGCTATATTTATTCCTTAACAAACAGATTAAACATGTCTTACTTTGTCTCTTCGTCATGTGTTGGTTCGAAGAATTCGTCTTTTAAAGTGACTGAATATTTTGCTTTACTCTTGGACAAAATGTAGCCTGGACCCACGACAAATGGCACCAAAGGTGGCTGAAAAATAGATGAAAATATAATGATTAGTCAGCAACCGTAACCACGTGCAAGAGCTGCTCGCCCCTCATTTTGAATTCTAGAAAAATCTTAAGTAGACTAATTCTGGAATTAAAAATATTTGGGTTTTCCCCGGCTTATCGATATAGGTACAAACAAACTTTAACAATTACAGCTTTTTGAAAATAAGCACAACAGGCTGACTGATCTGTTGTGACGGGTAGTGCACGGTGAAGCTTATAACGGTAGAAGTTTGTTTGTTCCTATGGATTAGTTGGGAAAAAACCACATTTGCCCAGTTCGGGATAAAATCTATTGTAGTTTTAAAGTAAAAACGACAACGTGACACCCTGAAACAGACCTGCAACAATAAAACAAATTGATATATAATATCATATCCTAAGGTATTATCATATTTTGCCTTAAATTTAACATTCAAAACTTCTAATAGATTATGAATAACTATACATGTCTTAAGTTTTGATTTTATTAAGATTCATTTTTTCTTTATCCATCTGGAGGCATGCTGCATTAAAAGACATACAATTTAAAAATTTGTAAACATTAAATATTTAACCCTTAGCCTGCTGGCGGCAACAGAATTCTACCCATGCGACCATTATGCAGACCAAGAGCAGCCACAGCATTTGTGTCATGTGATCAAGGTGTACACTTGTTTGCCATTTAGTCAATAAATATTTTTGAAATTTTCCCTATAAATGATGAATGGTCTTGTCCAGATTAAAAGATGGACAAGATCATATGTGAAATTTAGCAGGGAAATAAGGATTACAGTAAACATGATACACTCACCTCCTCCGGGCCCGATTTTTTATGCCCTCTCATCATATTCATATTGATGATTTACTTATTGTAAATATTTACCACTTTCTTGATAAAAAAATAAAAAAATTAATCCCTTTTCACCTCCTCAAAACAAACAAAAATATGTTTTAAAAAATCACATAAAATAAAAAATCTGATATACAACTCAATTCTAAACTGCTTTTTTTTTTTTCAATCTTTAAATTTTTTTATCTTTTTTTATTTTTTTTAACTGTATATCAAGTCACAATATAAATCTAACAATCCTTTTATTTTCCATCAATTATTTTAATTTCTTATTTTTTGGTAACTTTTTTAATTTAATTTTATATTTTAAGGTCACTGAACATAAAATGTTTTAATCACAAAACATGGTTTAAAAAATAATATCCATTTCTAAACGACTAAAACGTTACTTAACAAAGAAAGCACTCTTGAACAAATGGATTTTGTTTAACTGAAAATGCCAATTTAATATGTTTGAACAATATTAAATTACAATATCTTTATATATGTGCAAGACGCGACAAATTGGACTTTGTTTGTGGTAATTTCACATTTATTTTCACAGCGTTTGAAGGTGTTTATTTCACTTGGGAAACTTTCGTTGCTACATTACCAGTAGAAAGTGTTAAAAACTTAAAAATGTTAAACAAAATATTTTTGATTGATTCAAAGAAACTCATTGAAAGATACACTCAATATTTCAGAATTTATCACACTAAAAAACTGAGAAAGTTCAATATTATTACGACTAAAATAATGAATTAAAACTGCAGTGTTCACAACCTCTCTTTATGTTCAGTGTTTTAACCTTTCAGATACAATAACATTAAGGCAAAATAGTTTTCAGCCATAAAAATAATTATTGTTTAGTAAGAATACACAAATTGGATAACTATTTTATGATCAAAGAGTTTTAACTTTTAAAATACCTTAACCACAGAAATAAAAGCAAAATAAACTACACCTTTTCACTGACTGGTTTGATACGCATATTATCTATTTAATTCTTAAACAAAGAAAACAAAACAAAAAAAAGCAAAAATTCTATCCTAAATTCTTAAATAAGTTTATTTTAAATCACAAATTGTTATAGATTATTGCAATACTTATCTTAAGTGCTCATGAAAGAATTTTTTTTTTTTAAATTTTTAATTTGCTTAAAATTATTATCAAACTTTTGTAATGCACAGGTGTCCCAAGATGCAGTTAAAAAATTGTGTTTGTTTTCAGATTAACACTGGTTTAAAACACCTGGTTTATTAACAAGAATGTGAATGAGTTTAAATATATTGTCAGCTACATATCTAAAGATGAGTTAGCAAGTTTAAAAAAAAAAAAAAAAAAAAGTTAAAATATTTAAGGAGATTAAGAAATTTCTTTGTTTCTTTATTACCCCGATTTTTACCCCGATTTTTACTCCGATTTTAACACATATTTTGATCATATCTCAGCAGCCAATCCACCTAGAGTATGAGAAATTTTATTTGTTTTGAGTAGTAAACACAGTGTTGCATCTAGAATTTCAAAATTATGGGGGATTGTCCCCCACTCAACTGAAAAATATGGGGAATTTGAAAAAAATGTGGGGGACATACATTTACCTTACAATATGATGTACCAAAAAGAATTCATTTATTTTACGTTCAGGCATTTTTGACAGCTATCGTCCCCTAAACAATGGAAATAAAAAAAATAAAATATTGAAGAATACTACAAAACACATGCGAGATGACCCAGTCGGCTGCTGCACGCGATTTAGTACCTATTTTAGTCATAACAGCGAGTGAAAACAAACATGGCTGAAGCGTTCAAGATACGATGAAGATAAACTGTATTAGGTTGAAAAGATCGTCAGATGCGCGACTTGGTGCACATTGACTTCATTAAAATGCTCAATGTGCATAAAATATGCGCAAATTGCGCAATCGCGCGGCCTAGATGCAACACTGGTAAACACGAAGTTTTTCATTTCAGAGAAAGACATTGCTTCTATAGAGTTTAATTGAGGTTAAAAGCAACAAAACCATGTGATCTTAGTTTAAACTCATAAAAAAGACACTGCTGGGAGTAGAGGCATTGGCGAGTGTTTAACGTGTCAGACTAGTAACCTCATGACTGCTATCCGCATGGGTTCAAACTCTGTCAGGTGCATTGTTGTTTCCTTGAGTAAGAAACTTAATACTTATTGCTCAGTACTGGTTGGATCCAGAAATGGATTCGAAAGTGTATATGGACATAATTCTGTATAAACCAAAAGACAGTGCTACCAAAAATTTCCTCAAAGATTTTGGTGACAACAGCTGACCCTTTTTCCAATCAAAATGTGCAATACAATACATGTGTTTCACAATTTTAGATCTGAGATTTCATAAATTTTGTAGTGACATCATTTAACCAGTATCCAATCAAAAATGTGCAATACATAAAATTCATTGTCATAGTCTGTTTAAATAATTGAAATTTTATAGAATTTTTGTTAACATTCCTTGACCCTTGTCCAATTAAAACTTGTGCATTCATACATACATAGTCTGTTTCAATATTTGATATTTGTTCAGCTGTATTTTCTGTGCTATAAATATCCCATAACTGCAAAAAACAAACTTGAATGAAAGGACAAAATCTTGTTTGGTTTATATGGTATCAATAAATTGTAACTTACATTGTGAGAATCAGAATGACTAATATATTGCAAAAAGATCTGTATGCCACTGGTATATGGCCAGTCTTTTCCTATTGAGCCAGCCAAACTTAATTGTGTCCCCTGAATTACTTAATTGGTCTTAAAATTGTGCTTAATTGAGTTGAATTGATTGACAGTGTAAACCTTACAAGGCATGACATGACATCATATGTCGAAATCTCGTGGAGGGAGATCCCTCATGAGTAACTGATACCAAGAATATGTCTATAGGACATGTATGCCCCTATATTCTACTGTTTTGTCAGTCTACAGTCAGCTAAAGCAGGATGGACATGTATAAATATATGCCCCCCTGGCCCCATTTCCATCCATCTCCCTTTTTTGAGGGCGTAAAAATGGAAGAGAGATTTTTTAAAATGCAGACTTGGTTTGATTGAGTCTGTTCATGAGAGATAATAAATCTGCAATACTTCTCACAAACTCTCCTCAATGCTATCATATGCTATACTATAATCACCTTAAAGGGACTCCACTGAGCTTTTTTGACAAGACTGGACTGGAAATAATTTTTTGATGTTTATGTTCTATTTGATGTAGGTCTAGACCAATAACTTGTGTGCAAAATTTCAAATCATTGACATATTCGTTCACTGAATTTTTCCAGAATATTTATAATTGTGACAATAGACCAAAAGTTAAAATTGAGCTTAGAATCACAAAAATATGATTTTCAATTTATTTCAGGGTATCTCTATTGACTATCTTTTGCATATATTTCTGTTTTAAATGGCCCTGCAGATCTACGCAAGAAATTTAAATTATATATTTTTAGGCTTTTGGACCTCTGGGGAGTTCCTTTAATTAATAGTCCTTAATCGACTGCTTGAATTACATTAATACTACTTCAGGGTTTAATCTGATACAAAGTGGTGGCATGGCAAAGTGGTTTAATACATCAGACTTGTATTCTAAAGATTGCTGGCTGCATGGGTTCAAACCCTGTCAGGGGCAAGCTGTTGTTTCTTTAAGCATGAAACTACACTCATTGCTTAGTACAGGTTGATTCCAGGAACAGATCTGAAAGTGTATCTATAAGCTTATAGCTTCCTATACAATCAAAGTAAAAAAAATTCTGAACAAACTAATCTGATACATTTATCACATGTGTTTATCCGACTTACATCAATTTTAGACTGCCATGGTGGCGGTCTATTTTTCTTTGCAGGTATATGAGTCTCTAGATTATGTCTTCTTGTAGCTTCATGTTCTAATTGACTCACTCTGTCACAACTAGAGAAAAACAAAAATAGAAAATATCAGTAACACTGTATGTTTTATTTCTTTCTGTATTTGACCCAATCACATAATGTTACTGCTGTAATAACTATGACAACCTTCCAGATATTGTAATTTAATGAAACCAAATAAAAACCAAACACTTAACATGGCAAAAAATTAAGAAATATGGGTAATGCAATAGGCTTTATTTTTATTTTTGTATTTGACACAGTAACTTTTTTCATATGTCAACCTGCTGGAAATTACAATAAACACACAATAATAAAACACTACAAAGATAAAATAAGAAATATGAGCGACACAATATGTTTTATTTTCTTCTCAATTTGACACAATAACTTTTTTACTGTCATTTGCAATTGATTACACTGAAGAATAAAACAAAACTTAGCAAATTTATAGTTAATCGACCAGTTTAAAATCTCAGAGGTTAAAAGCCATTGTTGATCCCTGACCTTGGTGCATCTGGCATAAACTAATCGCAAAACTGGAACCTTACAAAAATAGGGAAAAATCCACCTTTGGACCAAATTTTCGGATTTGAAATTGCTTGGTGCAAATTTTGTGTCATAAAATTTGGAAGAAAAAGAATGCCAAAACCCTCAAGTATTTTCAATGGAAATATCATATGCTACAAAATCAGAAAAAAAAACCCCAAAATTCTTGAAATAAACACTTACTCTCGAATACCCAATATGGCTGCTGCAGTTTTCGGTCTGTTCATACGTAAAGGCGTGCCATTTTCATTGTGGGAGGAGTTAGCAGTACTAGGGACAATATGACCATATGATGACGGCCTAGTCCCATGTGCTGGGGTGGATCTGAAAATAACAAGATTGAAAATCTGTATAAATAAGAATGATGGGAAAAGCAAATGACAGGATCATCATGCAGTTTCCCTAACCGGCTTGCCCTGTTGTAACTAAAAGTGATTAACCTTGCCATCAATATAGAGCAAGACCATGTTATTGTGAATCTGTGCAGTCTGGCCGGGCTCTACACTGGTGGCTGACTCATTAGCAATTGTCTTCCAGCTCAATCTTGCTGCATTTTACTTAGATTATAAATCAGAGTGAGTCTGAACGACCAGTCCTAAAATTATCCCAGCCCATCAGAGACCCTGATTCCATTCTTCACTAAAAATTTATCATCAAATTATCCATAAACAAAACAAATTTTTAAAACAATGTCGAAAAATAATCTGTCGCGTATGACTGTATGACTTACATTCTATAATACATCCCATCATTCGTACAATGCCAGCGAAACGACAGCATGCTGCTGTTAATGTGGTTTAATACGCCACTTTTATTTACGTCATCGAACATTTATCCATAACTCTGATCACAGTAACAACTTTTTTTGTATCTTAATAACATTAAATTGTCATTATTTTGATGAATCTAAGCTTTGTGTAAAGGCCGAGTTGAAAATTTATTGATTTTATATGTCATATCGATACTATGTAAAGTTTATATAAAATAGATCGAGCATATCAACATATACTATACTGTGTAAAGTTTTATGCGGAACTGTGTAAAGTTATTTGTTTGAGCACTTTTATGCGGAACTGTGTTAAGTTATATATACAAGTGTTGTGTATTGTTAGACTATGGGTATAAATTAACCGTAAATATTTGATTTCTTGAACATATTCGTAAAACTTTACACAAAATATGCACAAAATAGTATGATTTGCTTACACAATTAAAATAGAAAATAAATATTTGTTTTGTATCCAACATTCAAATATCAATGAGTGTTTGGTATCTGCAAAAATGGTCAATAACATAACATGTTCAACATGTTCAACTGTACATTCCAGAATTTTTCTCTTCATTTGTTAATGATAAAGTCAAAACTGTAACTACTTTATTGTTACTGTAATAAGATATCATAAAATAATCCGTCTGCTTTTAGCATTGACCTAGATCACAAATATTCTTGGTTAAGTGCTTTGTACAAGCTTCAAAATCACAAATTTTGTAATCCAGTAAATCAATCACAGATTATAATGCAAATGTAAATTGGTATATGTCTGCCATTAGATATCAAAACAACTTTCTTATTCTGCAGAAAATCACAAAATTGTAAACTTATTTTATACATATATTCCCAATTATCACGTCAGTGACAAAATTAAATAACTCATTAATTCTAAATAATTCTAAATCCATCGAACAAAGACTTCTTTTTATCAACTCTATATTTTATATTGGCTTTATGTTTTATGAATAAAAAGGCAAGTCGAATATGCCATTTAAATATATAGTAAAAGTAATCGAAACAAAATTGACGTCCTCCATTTATAAACAGAACCTTATGTCAACGTATGAGCAATGTAATATCTTTTACAAACATTGCAATTTATATATCGAAAAGCATTATAAAATTTTCTATTTTCAAAAGGCGGGAGCCAGTCAGTTGAAATAGCTAATTATAATCAATATGTCATACTTCAAACAATTTCAAAAGCAGCAGTTGTATTTTCCTCTTGAAAACAGGAGGGGGAAAAACTAGGCCATTTTGTAAAGAAGGATTTAAATCTACACACCAATAACTTGCTATCAATCAAATCTGAACGTTTTAATATAATAAACATGCATTTAAAGTTTTGATATAGTATTACCATATATACTCTAAGTGCGCCCCAGAAAACACCACGGTAAGCCAAACATGTGTTTACTTTCATAAATAGCGCCACCTACAAACACGACAGGATGACCTACACATTACTGCTTAAAATCAATGACTTTGATTGCCATGTGTATATACTTTTAACGTGTAGACGCAAGTTAATACTAGTTGAATTAATTAACCTTTTACCCCATGAGCATATTGCTAAAAATGGCCGTTTTCATTGAAAAGCCTCCTGTAACAAGTTCAAACTGCTATGAAACTATGAACAAGAGCTGTCCGTAAGACAGCGCGCTCGACTTTTTTATTGCTTGCCAATAAAAAAAGTTTTTGCAGTAAAAGGCAATTTCAGGGCCAAAACACCTTTTTTGGGGAAGGGGCCTTAGCCTTTTACTTGGGGGAAAATCAGCGCGATTTTTGCATTTTTGGGGAAAAATTGGGCTGTTTCAAAATCGTCAAGAAAGGGATATATAACATTAATATGGAAAAATAATTAAACAACATAGACTCTCTTATAACTAAAAAAACCAATTTTATTCATTGATTCTTGATTTATAATAACATTTCCCTATTCTTTCTTGATTTAAACTCATCCACCAGAGCGTTCTCTGATCTCTCGAACTCCGTTTTATCAACAATGTCAACATCATCAACAGCACAGACACTTGGGGTTATTATAGATGTTGAAATATGAATTTTTTTCAAAACGGCTTATATTAAGTTTTTTTGATATATATATGATCAGTACATGTGCTGGGATTGACAAATATGCATTTTATTTGGATTTTAAAGGCGTTTTGAGCTCCAAACCCCAAGTGTCTGTGATCAAGAGTGGTTGAAGAAGTATCACTTCTCTATCTCAATGACTTTAGATCTATTGGTATCTGAAGGTGTATCTGATACTTTACTTGATTCACTTACGTTTTTCTTTTGAAAAAAGCCGTGATATTTTTGTTATTTTTGGAGTCGGACAATTTAATTTTTTTGTGTAATGTGTCCAGTTATGCGACATTTTGAACTTTGCCGGTAAAGAGCCGGTATACAAAATCATATATGTTGTAAAAATCTAGTTACAGTTCTACTAATGAAAACGATTTAAGTACTCGAAATTATTAGTTAAACTTCGTACAATAACTTACCTTTGTAGCGGTAAAATAACCGTAAATATCTTTTTACATCTAAAGATAGATTTTCGGGTTTTTACTAGAGTTAAGGTCATCTATTTTTAGCTTTCGAAAAAGTACAGCGTCATGTTTCGCGAGACATTGAAATGTTAACAACTATTATGCATACCCCTCTAGGGTATAATACAGTATGTTGCGTCATGCCTAGCGAGTCAATGAAATTCTATACGATCAATGTGCACACCCCTCTAAGCGGATATTAATAGGTCACGGTTTATTTTTACATACAGGGATTTCATGTTTTCAACGCTGTTCGGAAGAAAGATCGAAGAAATCTTGAATATTTTCCTTTTTTTCTGTTTATTCAGTTCTTAATTCTGCAGGGGATTTTCAAGCAATTGGGGAAATTTTAGGACCAAATTGGGGGAAAAAAGAGGCTAGTTTGGTTGGGGAAGTAGCCGATATTCGGCGTCTTTAAAGAAGAGTTTTTTGGCCCTGGCAATACAAGAATCTCTGTATTTTTAAAGTGAACAATGGCCATGAGCATTAAGATATTTAGTGAAGAATTATTTTACTGAATTGTGTGATACCCTTGAACACTGCAGCAAAGTTTGAAATGTTTAAGTCAAAAGAGGGCTGGTAAGAAAGAAAAAAAAACTGAGTTGAGCCTTAAATAAATTTAATAGTATTAAACCCACTTTGAGAGAATAATAGGAATGAATTTTTTTAGATTTTTTAAGTTTTTTAGTGCTTGCCTATAATACAAAACATTGACAGTTAAGGGCCATAATTCAAATAAAATCTTTGACAGAATTACCTTCTCCTGGACATGTTTGGGAATCATGATTGTAAACAAGTATTCCAACTTTCAAATTAATATCTCAAACAGTTCAGTCAAAAAGTGGACTGGTACTAAAAACTTAACCAAGATTCTAAGTCGATAAAAGGCCTTAATTTTTAAAACAAATCCTTGACAGAGTTACCTTCTCTTGCGTACAGATGGGGGTAATGATGTGAAATAGCATTAAAAGTTTCAAAGCAATATCTCAAAGGGTTAAGGCAATAAGTGGATTTTACCCATATTCAATGTATTTTCTAAGTCAAAAAGGGGCATAATTCTGTCAAAAAACCTTGACAGAGTTATGTCCTCTTGTCTGTTGATGAAGGTCGTGATGGTAAACAAGTATGGTCAGTTTCAAAGCAATACCTCCAATGGTTTTGAAATAAAGTGAGGTGGTACAAAAAACTTAACCAAGCTCAATACACTTTCTAAGTCAAAAAAGGGCCATAATTCTGTCAAAAACCTTGACAGAGTTATGTACTCTTGTCTGTAGATGGAGGTTATGATGGTGAACAAGTATGGTAAGTTTCAAAGCCATACTTGTAATACTTCTGAAATAAAGTGGGGTGGTACGAAAAACTTAACCAAGGTGTGACGCCAACGCCGACGCCAACGCCGACGCCGGGGCGAGTAGGATAGCTCCCCTTTTCATAGAAAAGTCGAGCTAAAAATGCTTCAATATTAATAAAACTTGGCACAAATGTTGACTACACCATAACCTCTGTAACAGCATGCTAAATGGTAAATTTCCTGTTACCATGGCAACGGGGGGACGTCTCAAAATTTCCAAAAATCACTATTTTGCATAGTTTTTTTCCATCAAGTCAACATTTGTGCTGCAACTTCTCAATGAATTGAGATTGAGTAAAAGGCTTTTCAGCGTCGGTTACTAGTTACCCTAAGATCGACCTGAGGCCATTTTTAGCCTGTCACATGTTCAAAATTTTCATGGGCACATCCCCCTTCTGGCAACCCCCCTTATGTAATATTTGGATGGGGGACGGCGCCAAAAAAGTGTCAATTTTTTTAACAACATTTCTCAAATGAAAAACAGTGTTTGGGGCCTAAATAGGACATATTTTCACTGTTTGAGGCCTCAAAAGGGGTGGGGCAAAAAGCCGTCGAAACACACTAATATAAGGGAAAAGGTTAATGAAAGTTACTATAAAAGCATTTTTTCCTTATAAAAATTAAGTAACACAGTACCCACTACAACCAA